CCAGGACCGAAAGCTGTGCAGTGCTTCCTGGTGGGGAACTCTCCCTTAAAGATGATGGGAGTAAGAAATAGATTAGGAATTCAAGTTTCTGATTACTATATTTCAATTTTTTCTACCCCTCCATTACCAAAGAAAATCGAACATGGTGTCAGGCTCCTTAGAAAGCTGGTGTAATCAATCACAAGGGATCCTCTGTGTATTCGGTGCTATGCTGCGTGCCCTGCATAGTGCAGAACTCCCCTAACACAGACATTTGCTGAGCACTTCCTCTGTGCCTGTGGGCATTGCCTCGTGTAATCCACAAATAACTCTGTGGAGTGGGGAATGGACAAGGAAATTGAGGCACAGAGGAGTTAATTAACTTGACCGTGAAAGTACCTTGTTACTGGCCCAACGGGAATTCAAACCTGGGCAGTCTAACTGCAGAGCCCACGCACTGAGCCTTCAGCAATACTGCTTCCTCTTATTCCAGGGAGTTTGCTGAGTTTTGGACAGATGACACAAAAACACAAACAAGAAGTGTATGCAAATGCCATTGTGTGGTTATGCAAACCAAGTACTCAGATGGAAGATATGGGTCTGGTCTGAAGCCACACAATCTCCATCACATCTTTGCTCTTGTACTTGGAAACCAGCCATGGTCAATACATAATGAATGGCAAGCTAGACTTAGTCTTTCAGCTATAGTTTGCTGATCCTTATGTAAATGATATAAGCCTTAGATTTCTTAAAGGAGATCTATTTAGGCTGGAACAGTTGGAGGGAGCTTTGGGATTGCTGAATTTAGCTTTGAAGAAAAATTTGAGGTGGACTTAGGGGAACCTTTGAGATCTGACCCTTCCCCCTTAGCTTTCCCTCTTTTCACTCCCCTCTTGCTCAGTGCCCTCTGGGTGTGCTGGCATGTTTTTCCAAGGCTTTGATTGCACCAAGATTATTCCTAACCTAGAGACTTTCACTGGCTGATCCTTCTGCCTGGAAGTTCTTCCCTGAGCTCTCCTCAAGGCATTTATGGTTTCTGAAGTAATCTTGTTCATTTATTGGTGTACTTGTCTATTATCTATTTCTTCATGTTCAGTAACATGAGATTAACACTTGTACTGTTCACTGCTGCATATTCCTGGCACTCAAGGCATGGCTGAAATAACACTTGCATGAGTAAAAGAAAAAGGGAAAGAGATAAGGAGAAAGGGAGGGAGACTTCAGAAATGCAAGCTTGCCTCATTAAGTTGTGTTTAATTTTTCCTTGGTCTGTGAATGAATAGTCTGTGGCCATCGTTAGAATGGGCCATCACTTGGTGCCCACAATTCTGTTTCAACTGATAAAACATCCTCATCCTGTAATTAGAGAATGATGGCACAGGTTATGGCCATTCCTTGGTCAGGGGTAGGACTCCTGTACTTCTGAATGATGACCTGTGGTTTAAGTTACAGACTTGCTATACCTGAAATAGAAAAATTCACTCTATCCTTATCTCATTTTATCAATAATAAAGCTCTCCATTGGAGATTTACTGCTTGAACATATGCATTAAAAAGCAAATGATCCTCTTTTCCCTCTAACCCATCACTATTTAAACCTAACCTTTCTTAGATTTATGTTTTTTAACATTTGCTGGATCGAACCACCCACTAAGCTGGTTTGGGCAAGCAGGACACCTGGCTACACTGCCGGCAACAAGTGACCAGGCTGCTCTCCTCTCCGCTCCAGCTTCCTTCTCTTACCAAGACTTTCATCTCTTTAACCTGCTAGGACTAGTAATAAGAAAGGTTTTCTCAGACAGCTGAAAGGTTAATTTTTTTTTGGATTTCCCTAAATCTTTCTTCTTTGTGAACTGAAGCAGAAAGACACAGCAACCTTTAACTGGGAACACAATAGTAGCTGCAGCCACAAGTCTCCTTTCTTTTCACACAAAAGAAGATGACATTTCATGCTCTGGGTGCCTTGTAGACTAGCATGCTTTCTTGGAAAACTATGTACCTGACCACTGCCTTCCCTTTTACTTTAGAGCTTAAGAGACTGGGAATGGAAACTATGGCTCAGTTATAGCAAATTTCTGGCCCTTAAACTTCAGCAGCAGTATTTTTCTTCTCCAGGGTCTTGATTTTCTGTTTCTTTACATTTTCCCTGGAACTGATCCCTGTGTTTTTATGTAATCTTGTTTTAGGCTATCTTTAGGTGTATCAGTAATGTATTAATTTTTAAATTCCATTCCAATGTAAGTCACTCACATATAACTTTTTAGTTGCTGTCATTTGAAAATTATGTTTAATTGAAAGATATACAGATTAAATACTATCCATCTGGTTCCCTTCTCAATAAGCACAGTCTGTTTCTAGTCCATATCCAAGCTTCTACTATAAACTGATTTTGGAAAGAACACCTAAACAGAAATTTGCCATGTTTTGTTTTCATAAGTGATATGAGCTAATAAGTTTGTCATTAGTCTCTGATCTATTCTTAAATGTTGTATGCATCATCTATGACCCTCAGCCATGCTAACTTAATTTATAAAATGCCATTGCTAAGCCAATAATGAGGTTGTGAATATGATCATATCTTTGCAGTGAGTCATCTGCCAATTGAAGAAAAACAAGAGTGTTCTCAACATTTACAATTTCCCTAAGAAATCTCCCTCATTGCTATGGTGACAGTGATGCTTTTTAGCTAAAAAAGTAAAAAAATCTACATTGTTACTAACATAACTAATAGAAGGCAAATGCAACAGATGTGATGGATTATGAAGGTGTCATGGGACTATAATTGTTCATTTCCATAGGTACAGCTGATCATAGCTCAAAGAAACAGCATCAAATAGTGGTTTACAGCAAGGCCCCAGGAGCTGCTGGGCTGGAACCCTGCCCTTCACAGTTGGGACTTCGGGCGAGTTACGTAACCTCAGTTTCCTCATTTATGAAATGGGAGTAATAATAATACTCCCCCTCAGCTGTGCAGATCCAATGAGTGAACACTTAAAACAGTACCTGCACACAGAAAGTATGACTTAAGAATTTGTTTAATAAAATAAACAAGCTGCACAGTGAAACTTAATCATACTTTATTAGTATTTTTCAGGATTAGAACCTATGAACAACTGTTTTCAGGTCCATAAATAATAGCAACTCTTCAATCTGATGTTTCTAGATATAAGCTTTCAAATTATATGGACAAATTTATAATTTAAGGGAGAAAAAATAGTGTATTTAGTGGAACAGCTATTTTCTTCTTAAAACCCATAAATTTAGCCCTGGCTGGTGTAGCTCAGTGGATTGAGCGCAGGCTAGGAAACAAAGTGTCCCAGGTTCGATTCCCAGCCAGGGTATATGCCTGGGTTGCAGGCCATAACCCCCAGCAACCGCACATTGATGTTTCTCTCTCTCTCTCTCTATCTCCCTCCCTTCCCTCTCTAAAAAAATAAGTAAATAAAATCTTTAAATAAAAAAATAAAAAGAATGTTTCTTAAAAAAAAACCCATAAATTTAGAAATCTATGTATCATATGTGTGTGTGATATTATAGACAATTTTCTTAACACTTAAGTGTTAAGATTCATATGTAATTAATTATAAAATTGGGAGTAGGTAAATTCTGATTTTTTTATGTTAAAACAAAATGCTGTAACCAAACTCCAGTGCTGCCATTCACTAGCTATGTGTTCTTTGGCAAATTTCTTAAGCTATCTGAGCTCCTGCTTCTTGCCTGAGAAATGCAGGAAAAAAATGCAGAGTTGTTGTGTGGATGAAATAAGATCCTATAAATAAATTGCTTCTCATATTTAAATGTTAATAATGAAACATTGCATTATCTAATGAATAATCAGTATGTGGTTAGCATCAAAATATTAAATACCCTTTTAACTTCTCATTGCAAATTGGGCCAGTTTCCATTTATGGTGCCATATCTTAAACCTGCTAACATGTTGATTTAGAACTCTTTGCAAATTTATTTATGCTTCGTCTTCTCATCTCTGTTATAAACATGTTGAGGGCAAGAACCAGACTCCCCCATCTTTTTAAATTAAGCCTTATGCACTGTAGGCTGTTACTTCTTAATGTGTATAAAGAGTGGTAATTATGCATTTCTTTTACCAAACGGAGGAGGAATGAGATCCTTAGGTTGAGTCCATACTCAAGTGGAAAATCTAAGAGGCCCTAAAGAGAAAGTCATAAAGACACTTTCTGTAGTATAACTTAGTGCTCTGCTGAACTCAAAGGAAATGACTGTGGAAAGAAGAGAGAGCAGTGTACTGAGAATGTTATCTTGTGTGGTACTCACAATTAGGAATTTAGAATAGGATTCAGCAAAGCAAGAGGAAAAAAGCAATTCATATAAGCATAGTAGTCGCTATGCCAGGTAAGCAGACAAACTCTTAAGGGGTGGTGCTGGTGGTGGCATTGTGTATGTATGTGTGTGTGTGTGTGTGTGTAGAGGTCAAGAATAATTCAAAGTAAGAAAATGCCACTAGCTTTCATGAGGAGATGATTGGAAACCTTTAAAGTGTGCTTTATGCAGATCTATGGAGGCTGAATTAGGAAGTCAATGCAGCTGGTATAGATCACTGATTTAGAAATAAGGAAGATGGGATATGAAATGGTAGAGATGGAGGGTTCAGGAAAGACAGAGACAAAACAGAAACAGTTTTTAATTCATATGACAATTGAAAATAAATAATTAAAAAACTGATAAAACTGGTCTCCTTTCCAATGACATTCTTATGCCCGACTCAGTGACTATCAGCAAGAGAAAACTGAGACATATGAGTAAGTCGGAGCCAATGGCTTTCATTTCTCCTAATACACAGGCTGTTTTAAAGATTGATACATGGATTTGCATGTATTCAAAATATTTTCAAACCCGTCAAAGTAAAACACCATTATTGAAAAGTTCATATCTAAAGTTTAAGATGGTTAACTGTATTTAGGGTCACACTCCCCCAAAAAAGGAAAGAGGAAAAAAATGTAGGGTCTTATAAAATATGAATCATCTGTTTTATATCTGAATAGGTTCCCCAAGATGAATGGACAGGGTATACCCCTCGAGGTAAAGATGATGAAATTCCATGCCGACGAATGCGGAGTGGCAGCTATATCAAAGCCATGGGAGATGAAGACAGTGGTGACTCGGACACAAGTCCCAAGCCTTCTCCCAAAGTTGCTGCACGAAGAGAAAGCTATCTCAAGGCTACTCAGCCTTCTCTCACAGAACTCACCACACTCAAGTAAGTGTTTCTAACGCTATGCTCTGGTAGTCCAGCTGCTTGTGTTATGACCCAGGATCAGATTGTGTGACACCTAGAGTAAATGGGGCAGAAAACACTCTTCAGATGGAGCAGTGTGGTGCATTGACTGGTCTATTGATTTTGACATTGGGTCTGATTTGTATGTCCCTGTGCTTTCAAAGACATGGGCACCAGGTCTCCTCTGCATAGATCATAGGCTGAACCCCCAACCTCCAAGAAGAGTTTGGAATAACTCAGAGTGGCTTCTGAAAGGAATTAAGATTTCTGATCAATGAGAAGGTCCATGTATCCCAAATCTGGGCATTTGTTCAACCACTAAATCTATGAAAGATCTCTTCATTAAAAGACCCTTGAATTTTTTCAGATAATTGAGTAATTAATAGAGCAGATTATATTGGAGAAACTTATAGAATGCTGCCATGCTTTAAAATTGGGTGATATGTGAAGGTTCTTGATATTCATTTTTAAATTTGGGCATTCAGTATATATTGTATTTTATGACCTTAAAATGGTTTTTGTTTTGAAAAATATGATGATAAGTAATCCTTACTTCCATTTATACTATTTGGAAATAAGGGACAGCTTTACAGAATAAATTAAGGGAATTAATTATTTTAAGAAAGGCCATATTTAATATTTAATTTTATTAATGGAGAGTTAATCAGAACTTGGAACACAGCACTCTGTAGTTAGTTGAATCTGAAAAACATATTATAGATTATTCATGTTTTTTAAGTGCCTTTGATTACATGTTTTGAGGAAATACATACTACTATTTATACACTTAGGTTACACTACAAAATAAGATATTAAAAGACATAATAACTAAAACAGAAAAATGTGAAAGTCATCATATTAAAGAAAACAAACTAGATTATAACCTAGAATACTGAAAGACAGCTGACTATTCTATGATGGAAATTTATTTAAAAGCAAATTATGTTATATTTTAAGGAAGTTGACAGTGAGAATCCCCTCATCAGTATTTTTTTCAAGGTATCACATGAAACCACTATGGAACATTTCAAGAGAAAGCTAATAATACCAATGACATTAGTAAACCAGCCCAAGAAAGGAAGCTGTTTTTCCTTTCCTTTGGCTTCCCATTGCCCTCTTTTTTGCCTTTATTTCTGCATGTATTCACCTCTTAGGCCTGCTGTAACAAAGTACTATGACCTGGATGGCTTGAAACAGTAGAAATGTATTATCTCACAGTTCAGAAACCTGGCAGTTTGAAGTCTAAGTGTCAGCAGGCGTATGCTCCTTCTGAAACCTGTAAAGGAGAATCCTTCCTTACCTCTTCCTAGCTTCTGGTTGTGACCGGCTATTCTTGGCATTCCTCAGCTTGCCTCTGTCATCATGTGGCTGTCTTCTTATGACACAAGTGACATTGGATTAGGATTCTCCCTGATGACCTTATCTTAACTTGATTAAACCTGAAAAGACCCTATTTCCAAGTAAGGTCACATTCACAGGTGTTGGAAGTTAGGACTTTGACATATCTACGTGAGGAACACAATTCAACCCATAATACTGCCATACGAGGTAAGAATTGGTTGTGGAAATGAAAAATGGAATCAGGTATTCTCTGCGCTTTGGCACAGCTCACAGAAGTTCAGAAAACTAAATATATGCAGTGTGAAAAGAACTGGATACATAATAAAGGCAGTTGGCCAAGGTGGTGTGACACAAAGGTAGCCAAGGACTTTTCTGGCAAATATTTTCTGTGGACTTTAAAGTATCTCCACTATAGACAATAGATAGTCACAGCCGTTGCACTGACATCTTCCAAAAGGTGCAAAAGAGGGACTGCTTTGGGCAAGAAAGTCACTTGGACCTTCAAGGTCTCAGTTCCCTCAAATGAAACCAAGTAGTTAGACTCTGCAACCTCCTGAGTCCCTTCCACCTTCTTTGTATCTCATTAGTTTGCCTATGGGGATGCATTTGTTCACTGGCTGAACGGCACTTTGGTTCTTGGGTGATGAGACACAGTGATTGCTGCGGTTTACAGTGGTACACAGGTATGAGGAGAACAGAAAGGAGCAGAGCCCTAACTAAGGAAGGTATGGAACATGCTCTGAGGAGGCCAAGGATGGGGGTATGTGCAGAAATCAAGTTCACAATTTTACCCTACTTTCTAGAGCTTCAAAGCTGTGGGGAATCCACTCTGAAGTCATTGAGACTTTTACATTTTGCCTTCTTTTAATACCCTGGACCCTATTTTTTACAATCATTCATGCATTTCGTCTACTGTTCACAAGCTTTAAGAGCAGAAAGAAACCAGCACACAGATAGTGGCTTAGCTGGTGGTGAAGAGGGTCAGCACTTCAGACAGTGAAATTAGTCACTGAGCAAGGAGTAAGAATTTGTGACGTCTATTTTCTTCCTCTAAACCTCTGGAAATTCAAAATAATAACCATTTTACTGGGAGATACCTTCTAAATTAAAAACTTTGTCTTGACTTAGGATGGCATTTCACCAAACCATCTCTGCTGCTCCCCTATTTAAAGAATAAAAGGCAGGCAAGACAACATCTGACCATTCTAATATGTCTTTCTTCTCTGTGCTACCATCCTATTAACAAGACTTACTTCTCACAGTTCTACTCATCTCCATTCATTTCTTCCTCACCTGCTTCAGGAGTTCCATCTCTCATTACAATCTACACATCAACCTTCCACTGTATTCAAGTACATGTGATTATAAATGATTTCTAGCTTAATGGGATTTCAGGAGGGACACAAGAAAAAGAGGGAACACACTATGAAGGGAAATTTCAGATATGACATCACTTATAATCAATGCTGTCTTTTATTCCTTGATGATATTTTGACTGGAGGTAATTGTTTTTCTAGAAGTTTGAAGCATTTAGTTCCTTATGAGAAAAAAAAATCCCCATATCCTGGAATTCTAGTTCCCCAAAAAAGAAACTATATTTTTGTTCCTACTGCTCTGACATTTAAGTCAACTTTTTTCCTCCTTCCTCCTCAGCAATTCACAGCTTTAGGGATGAATCATAGCCATGAACCAAGATATCTAAAATTAGCCGAGTGAGATTGGGGCAACATTTTGTTTGAGGTTTTCAACTCCCATCTTCTCTCAGAAATGTTGGAGAGAAGGTACTCCTACACTTTATTACACTGTTTTTCTCTTTTCTTTTCCCTTTGCTATTTTCCAAAGGCATCTTGAGGGTCTATTCATGAGCATGGTTTTCATCAGCTACTTAATGTTGTCTTTAGACTGATAAGGCCTAAGGTCAGTTGAACATTCTAGAGTCAGAGGTCATCTTGAGACAGTGAACTCCATCTTTGGGCTGTAAAACTCCCATAGCTACTCTGAGGACCACTATTTCTCTCACTCCCTTCTCTTCTTCCACAGCTAGTCAGAAATCCCCTCACTTCACCACTACTGGCCTTTCTTCTTCCTTTGTTCCTAGCTAACAATAAAACTTGACATGACATATCACCCAAGAATATTATTATTTTCAAAAATAACTTCTGAACATTTAATAGTAAGTTCTCAGGGAAGTAAGGGAGAGATTTGCGGGCTAGCATTCCCTCAAAGCATGTCACTGCAGCTAAGCTCTGTTAAAAAAATTTGAGTCTTTTACTGGGATTTACTATATTATGCAGTTTATTCTGGAATTAAAACTACTGCCAGCTACCATGGTTAGTTAAAACCATGTGCAAATCCCATCCTGGATTTTTTTTTTCAGTATGTTGTGAAACTGAAGAACTTTAAATATAACATTTGTTAACTGTCATTTAAAAGATTCTAAAGTTAAATTCAAATGTCCATTAATCCAAAGCAAATAACATTTTAAAATCTCTTCCTACTTCTTTATCCTTTTACCCAAGCATGAGGAACAATTTCCTCCTGGAAGAAATAGTCGGGCTCTAGCACCATAGACTTGTAAACGTCTCTGAAATTGGTGAGAAGGCCCCTAGGCTCCTGTGTGTGTTTGGCACTGGAGAGGACCATCCAGGGCTCCTGACAATTTCACTACAGTGTCTTAACAAATGGCTTCACAAAGGTTTATTTTCAATTCTAAATGCCTTGAAGGCAGATGGTTTTTTTTATTTTCAGGACAGTTAATTATCTTAATCTCATTCTTTCCCTGATCTGAAAACTTTCTAAAAGAAATAATGTTTTCACCTATTTCCTCAACTGCCTTGCATCTGGCATCCATCAAAATGTTCTCTGTATCCTAGAGTTTGTTTCTGTTCTGCCTGTTCATTTATTTTGTTTTTTTATATTCAATTGTTCATAAATATATATTTATTACCATTTTATTGTTCATATTTTTGAAATTTTCTTCTTCTTAAGGAATTAAGAAGTACAGAGCAGTAGGTACAGAATGCTCACGGGGATGTCAAATGCAGCCTAGGGAATATAGTCAGTAATATTGTAATAACCCTGTGTGGGGTCAGATGAATACAAGATTTATCAAGATGATCAGCTATATAACATCTAATCATTCTAACCAAGGATGTGCACCTAAAATTAATATAATATTATATATCAACTGTAAATGAAAAATTAAAAATTATTTTTTAAAAATATAATAATAATAATAAGTTGGTGAGATACTAAATAGTTCTGCGGCTTTTGGCAACTAGATTAATGTCTCTGAGTTCCCCCCACCCCAATTAAATAAGAGGCTCAAGCTGCCAGTGTGGATGGTACCACATAGAAGTCTCTCATCCCAGCTCTCCTACCCAGGCCCACAACAGACAGCATTAGCCGATGCCAGCATTGATGGATGAGCCTCTTTCCACTGAGCCGCTTCCCACTGGGGTTCCAAACTCCTCTGAGCACAGGGCTGCATCCACCACTTCTCATCCGCCAGCGATTCTGTGGCTGCCATCCTTTGTCTACACAGTCTCTTAGGAATCTAGCAGCACTACTGTGTGCAATTGTAAGGCTGAGGCACAGAAGAAATACCAGTTCACTGTTTAAAGATGAAAGGAAGTTATATA